GGCTGGACAAGTCTAACTGTACATGTGTGGCTGGACAAGTCTAACTGTACGTGTGTGGCTGGACAAGTCTAACTGTATGTGTGTGGCTGGACAAGTCTAACTGTACGTGTGTGGCAGGACAAGTCTAACTGTACGTGTGTGGCTGGACAAGTCTAACTGTACATGTGTGGCTGGACAAGTCTAACTGTACGTGTGTGGCTGGACAAGTCTAACTGTATGTGTGTGGCTGGACAAGTCTAACTGTATGTGTGTGGCTGGACAAGTCTACCTGTACGTGTGTGGCTGGACAAGTCTAACTGTACATGTGTGGCTGGACAAGTCTAACTGTACATGTGTGGCAGGACAAGTCTAACTGTACGTGTGTGGCTGGACAAGTCTAACTGTACATGTGTGGCTGGACAAGTCTAACTGTATGTGTGTTGCTGGACAAGTCTAACTGTACGTGTGTGGCTGGACAAGTCTAACTGTATGTGTGTGGCTGGACAAGTCTAACTGTATGTGTGTGGCAGGACAAGTCTAACTGTACATGTGTGGCTGGACAAGTCTAACTGTATGTGTGTGGCTGGACAAGTCTACCTGTACGTGTGTGGCAGGACAAGTCTAACTGTACGTGTGTGGCTGGACAAGTCTAACTGTATGTGTGTGGCTGGACAAGTCTAACTCCACATGTGTGACTGGGCAAGTCTAACTGTACGTGTGTGGCTGGACAAGTCTAACTGTATGTGTGTGGCTGGACAGGTCTAACTGTATGTGTGTGGCAGGACAAGTCTAACTGTATGTGTGTGGCAGGACAAGTCTAACTGTACGTGTGTGGCAGGACAAGTCTAACTGTACGTGTGTGGCTGGACAAGTCTAACTGTACGTGTGTGGCTGGACAAGTCTAACTGTACGTGTGTGGCTGGACAAGTCTAACTGTATGTGTGTGGCTGGACAAGTCTAACTGTACGTGTGTGGCTGGACAAGTCTAACTGTATGTGTGTGGCTGGACAAGTCTAACTGTACATGTGTGGCTGGACAAGTCTAACTGTACATGTGTGGCTGGACAAGTCTAACTGTACATGTGTGGCTGGACAAGTCTAACTGTACGTGTGTGGCAGGACAAGTCTAACTGTACGTGTGTGGCTGGACAAGTCTAACTGTATGTGTGTGGCTGGACAAGTCTAACTGTACGTGTGTGGCTGGACAAGTCTAACTGTATGTGTGTGGCTGGACAAGTCTAACTGTACATGTGTGGCTGGACAAGTCTAACTGTACATGTGTGGCTGGACAAGTCTAACTGTACATGTGTGGCTGGACAAGTCTAACTGTACGTGTGTGGCAGGACAAGTCTAACTGTACATGTGTGTGGCTGGACAAGTCTAACTGTATGTGTGTGGCTGGGCAAGTCTAACTGTACGTGTGTGGCTGGACAAGTCTAACTGTATGTGTGTGGCTGGACAAGTCTAACTGTATGTGTGTGGCTGGACAAGTCTAACTGTACGTGTGTGGCTGGACAAGTCTAAATGTACATGTGTGGCTGGACAAGTCTAAATGTACATGTGTGGCTGGACAAGTCTAACTGTATGTGTGTGGCTGGACAAGTCTAACTGTATGTGTGTGGCTGGACAAGTCTAACTGTACATGTGTGGCTGGACAAGTCTAAATGTACATGTGTGGCTGGACAAGTCTAACTGTACATGTGTGGCTGGACAAGTCTAACTGTATGTGTGTGGCTGGACAAGTCTAACTATACGTGTGTTGCTGGACAAGTCTAACTGTACGTGTGTGGCTGGACAAGTCTAACTGTATGTGTGTGGCTGGACAAGTCTAACTGTACGTGTGTGGCAGGACAAGTCTAACTGTACGTGTGTGGCTGGACAAGTCTAACTGTATGTGTGTGGCTGGACAAGTCTAACTGTATGTGTGTGGCTGGACAAGTCTAACTGTATGTGTGTGGCTGGACAAGTCTAAATGTATGTGTGTGGCAGGACAAGTCTAACTGTACGTGTGTGGCTGGACAAGTCTAACTGTATGTGTGTGGCTGGACAAGTCTAACTGTATGTGTGTGGCTGGACAAGTCTAACTGTATGTGTGTGGCTGGACAAGTCTAAATGTACATGTGTGGCTGGACAAGTCTAACTGTATGTGTGTGGCTGGACAAGTCTAACTGTATGTGTGTGGCTGGACAAGTCTAACTGTACATGTGTGGCTGGACAAGTCTAACTGTACGTGTGTGGCTGGACAAGTCTAACTGTATGTGTGTGGCTGGACAAGTCTAACTGTACGTGTGTGGCAGGACAAGTCTAACTGTACGTGTGTGGCTGGACAAGTCTAACTGTACGTGTGTGGCTGGACAAGTCTAACTGTACGTGTGTGGCTGGACAAGTCTAACTGTATGTGTGTGGCTGGACAAGTCTAACTGTATGTGTGTGGCTGGACAAGTCTAAATGTACATGTGTGGCTGGACAAGTCTAACTATACGTGTGTTGCTGGACAAGTCTAACTGTACGTGTGTGGCTGGACAAGTCTAACTGTATGTGTGTGGCTGGACAAGTCTAACTGTACGTGTGTGGCAGGACAAGTCTAACTGTACTTGTGTGGCTGGACAAGTCTAACTGTATGTGTGTGGCTGGACAAGTCTAACTGTATGTGTGTGGCTGGACAAGTCTAACTGTATGTGTGTGGCTGGACAAGTCTAAATGTACATGTGTGGCTGGACAAGTCTAACTGTATGTGTGTGGCTGGACAAGTCTAACTGTATGTGTGTGGCTGGACAAGTCTAAATGTACATGTGTGGCTGGACAAGTCTAACTGTACGTGTGTGGCTGGACAAGTCTAACTGTACATGTGTGGCTGGACAAGTCTAACTGTATGTGTGTGGCTGGACAAGTCTAAATGTACATGTGTGGCTGGACAAGTCTAACTGTACGTGTGTGGCTGGACAAGTCTAACTGTACATGTGTGGCTGGACAAGTCTAACTGTATGTGTGTGGCTGGACAAGTCTAAATGTACATGTGTGGCTGGACAAGTCTAACTGTATGTGTGTGGCTGGACAAGTCTAACTGTACATGTGTGGCTGGACAAGTCTAACTGTATGTGTGTGGCTGGACAAGTCTAACTGTATGTGTGTGGCAGGACAAGTCTAACTGTACATGTGTGGCTGGACAAGTCTAACTGTATGTGTGTGGCTGGACAAGTCTAACTGTACGTGTGTGGCTGGACAAGTCTAACTGTACGTGTGTGGCTGGACAAGTCTAACTGTATGTGTGTGGCTGGACAAGTCTAACTGTACGTGTGTGGCTGGACAAGTCTAAATGTACATGTGTGGCTGGACAAGTCTGACTGTATGTGTGTGGCTGGACAAGTCTAACTGTATGTGTGTGGCTGGACAAGTCTAACTGTACATGTGTGGCTGGACAAGTCTAACTGTTTGTGTGTGGCTGGACAAGTCTAACTGTATGTGTGTGGCTGGACAAGTCTAAATGTACATGTGTGGCTGGACAAGTCTGACTGTATGTGTGTGGCTGGACAAGTCTAACTGTATGTGTGTGGCTGGACAAGTCTAACTGTACATGTGTGGCTGGACAAGTCTAACTGTATGTGTGTGGCTGGACAAGTCTAACTGTATGTGTGTGGCTGGACAAGTCTAAATGTACATGTGTGGCTGGACAAGTCTGACTGTATGTGTGTGGCTGGACAAGTCTAACTGTATGTGTGTGGCTGGACAAGTCTGACTGTATGTGTGTGGCTGGACAAGTCTAACTGTACATGTGTGTGGCTGGACAAGTCTAACTGTATGTGTGTGGCTGGACAAGTCTAACTGTATGTGTGTGGCTGGACAAGTCTAACTGTATGTGTGTGGTTGGGCAAGTCTATCTCCACATGTGTGGCTGGACAAGTCTAACTGTACGTGTGTGGCTGGACAAGTCTAACTGTACGTGTGTGGCTGGACAAGTCTAACTGTATGTGTGTGGCTGGACAAGTCTATCTCCACATGTGTGGCTGGACAAGTCTAACTGTACGTGTGTGGCTGGACAAGTCTAACTGTACGTGTGTGGCTGGACAAGTCTAACTGTACGTGTGTGGCTGGACAAGTCTGACTGTATGTGTGTGGCTGGGCAAGTCTATCTCCACATGTGTGGCTGGACAAGTCTAACTGTATGTGTGTGGCTGGGCAAGTCTATCTCCACATGTGTGGCTGGACAAGTCTAACTGTATGTGTGTGGCTGGGCAAGTCTATCTCCACATGTGAGGCTGGGCAAGTCTAACTGTATGTGTGTGGCTGGGCAAGTCTATCTCCACATGTGTGGCTGGACAAGTCTAACTGTATGTGTGTGGTTGGGCAAGTCTATCTCCACATGTGTGGCTGGACAAGTCTAACTGTATGTGTGTGGTTGGGCAAGTCTATCTCCACATGTGTGGCTGGGCAAGTCTATCTCCACATGTGTGGCTGGGCAAGTCTATCTCCACATGTGTGGCTGGACAAGTCTGACTGTATGTGTGTGGCTGGGCAAGTCTATCTTCACGTGTGTGGCTGGACAAGTCTGACTGTATGTGTGTGGCTGGGCAAGTCTATCTCCACATGTGTGGCTGGACAAGTCTGACTGTATGTGTGTGGCTGGGCAAGTCTATCTCCACATGTGTGGCTGGACAAGTCTGACTGTATGTGTGTGGCTGGGCAAGTCTATCTCCACATGTGTGGCTGGACAAGTCTGACTGTATGTGTGTGGCTGGGCAAGTCTAACTGTACGTGTGTGGCTGGACAAGTCTAAATGTACATGTGTGGCTGGGCAAGTCTAACTGTATGTGTGTGGCTGGGCAAGTCTATCTCCACGTGTATGGCTGGGAAGTCTATCTCCACGTGTGTGGCTGGGCAAGTCTGACTGTATGTGTGTGGTTGGGCAAGTCTATCTCCACGTGTGTGGCTGGGCAAGTCTATCTCCACGTGTGTGGCTGGGCAAGTCTATCTCCACGTGTGTGGCTGGGCAAGTCTATCTCCACGTGTGTGGCTGGGCATCACCTTGTAGTGTTATTTCCTGGGACACCCTGTCGATGACCAGGAGCTCATTAGCTCCTGCATCAGTTGGCTCGATGATGAACTTGTCGGATGTGATATGTCTGAAACAGAAAGAGAGAGAGAGCTTAATTTACAAATTTACTGGAAATACGAGCAGGAACAGGATAGCTGGGTTGTGTTACTTGCGTCTTTGGAAGATTATTCTCTGGCCTAATGAAAATGGTAACACTGACATGATAAGTGGTTGGGAAACATGGCCACGATTCAAGTAGAATGTCAACCACCTGAATCAGGCCAACATCAGCAGCCAATGAGAATAAACACTTCTTATTTAGGTCAGAGTGAGTGAGTGAGTTGAGTTTAACGCCACTTTTTAAGGGTATTCCAGTTATATAACGGTGTGTCAGTCTCAGACTTATCCACTTCGGTGAAACCCACGAACACAGGTATGGTGCTGACAAACCTAGAAAAATAATCGGGGCGAACTGGGATTTCAACCCACAATCAATGAATGACACGTAATAGTGAGCTGAGAGAGTTACAATGGCCCAGTTGGAAGCACAGCAGAGTTACACCCCTTTCCTTTTTCACCATTTATACGTCTCATCTTTGGACGTCAGATAATAATTGCTTTTCTTTATTTGTGGCAATTTTTCATATCAAAGGTACAACATTATATTTGTGTTGTTAAGGTATTAGGTAGTATTTTGTTTGCTCACAGTTTTCATCAAACTTAAATTTAACAAAATGTTGCACATTACTATTATCGGTTTAAAATTAAAAGTGGCAACTTTGTTGTTTTTTTAACACACAACAAAATTTCAGATAACACTTAGCAGTTTAATATTGGCAGTTAATACTACATGCTCAGACAGAAGATTTAATATCTATATAGTGAGGAGTAACCGAGTGCCTCGTGACTGCAAATCTTGCACAACGTTTAATTTTCAGAACTAATACAAAATGTACAGAAAAGTAATTCAGCATAGAGTGGGTCAAACATAAACATGCAGTAGAATTCACAGATATTAATTTATACTGTGCACCTTTGTTAACAAAACACACACTTTGACCACTGTGTCATTTATCCAGGGTAATACTCTGAACATCACTTCAAAAGATGTACAGCTGACACTGTTGTCTCCAATAAGTTGGCTGCCAAAACATGTCTATGTTATCATAACTGATGTTTCTTTGCCGATCACTGTCAATAGTGTCATCCCTTAATCCGATGGTTTCAGATGATCCTCCAGACAATGTCATGCACTATATTGCATATGGCAAAAACTAATTTGAAGACATTATTGTTTACTTACATTGAGTGTATTGTCACTTGTGTGTTGATATCGATGTATGGGTGAATTGTTTCATTAAAGGGGCACTGATCTAAAGTAATTCCCCGGGACTGGTTGTTGTCTTTGTTATTGTGTTTTCCCCGTGAGTACCCGGATGATACGCACCGCAACTGAACATGACAAGAGACTGGGCTACCGCCTCCAAGGACAACTAAATAAACTTGGAGGCAATATTTGTTTTATGCATTTTTGAACACTGATTGGTAAACCATGATCTATAAAGAAATCTACAAAGGGCACATGTTAATTCATTTCTTCAGCCTAGACAAACAGACAAAAAGAACGGCGGAGTTCATCGGATGTCATCATTTGGAAATACCCCAGATGGTTATAGTTTAATAATAAAAAAAGTATCCATGCAGTGAAAGCATTTTCGGATTTCGGATTGCGTCGATGATACGAATGCTATCTCTTGTTGTTACCACGTTTGGTATAACCCTTCACTTGTGTATTTGTCGTCATTCACTTGATGCTCAGTTAATGAATTTATTACAGGTATAATTTGTGATAGCACCACTCAGATTACCTGACAAAAGTTCCCATTTGGCATTTAATTGTGTCAGGGGTAATTATTGTTATTTACTTTTTTGTAAATCAACAGATCGTTCCTAGTCATCACAGGATTAACAGAAAATATGTTGACTGATTAGTCACTGTTATCTTGTACAGTGGACATGTCAAAAGTGAGTGTTTACATGTCTAGGTTTACTAAAACAAAGGGAATGCACTCATATCATGGCGTGAAGTGCTGATGTAAAATCAAAAATACTTTGTTCAAAGGGTTAACCGATAATACGTTGATTGATTGCTCATTGTTATCTAACTCAGTTGATATTTTTAAGGAACCGTGGATGTTATGAAAATAGTTGTCACGTGGGCTTTCTCAGCCGACCTTTGAGACTTGACACCTATGTGAAACCCCTGAAACAGCTGCAGACGTGTGGGATATTGTTCCTTTGTGTGGATATTCATGGATACATTCCTCGAACAAGGAAGCTGCCTAAAATAATACACATGAATTTGGTAGGTTGTAATTATGATATTTGCGTTTTGTTTTCCTTCACTTGCTGTAGCATTGAACAGATTCATTTTCATTCCTCTACGTCTTGGTTGGGAAATTCTTCGATGTGCATTAGAGCTTGTTTTCACAAGTCTTTTCCTTTCTAAACGTGTATGTATTACAGTCAATTTGTAAAATGTGATTCTCTCAGGCAATTTATAAAATGTGTAAATATTTCAGTCATTTTGACTGAAAAATCTGTCCATTTATTTAACAGATTGACTAAAAATTATTTAGACCATCAAAAGAGCCTAAAAACATCACAATAGATTATTTTGTAGGATTAGAAGCCAAACAATAATGAAATGTACTTTTCATCGTAACATTTTCAGTCTCTTGGTGATTATTTTAAACTTAAAAATGTTTGGAATTTGTTGTCATAATAATACAGATGGACATATTTTTCAGTCAATTTGTAAAATAACTGAATATTTAGGCGTTTAAAGGTTTCCTTTGTGAAAATTTTGCATGGTTTGACTGTAAATATATAAGCACGATAAAATAAGCAATGCTCAGATGAAATATTTACTTTGTGTTGCAAGTCAAAATAGTGTAAAAGAAAATGGCACAATTACCAAGCAAGTGACTGATCAAAACTTCGTCACCATTACCGGTGCTACCCACAAAGATACCTACATTTCCTTAACATTTCCAAAACTATATTTCATTTTGTTGATCAATGTGACCATACGCCCTTATACTATCAATAAAAGTGACAAATGCGCTTAGGATTTGCTCAGCACAGGTCGCGAACTAGTCTAGATTTCTGCTATATCATCCGGGTGCTCACAGGAAAAAACAATAACAAAAGCAACAACCAGTCCCGGGGAATTGCTTTAGATCAGTGCCCCTTTAAAATCATTTTATATATCAAGGACCTATAGGCCTATAGTGTTTGTATGATTCATGTCTGAAAATAGTATTTGTTATAGACATTACAATCTCTATGAATGCGTCTACACGGTCGCTTTTATGACTACAGACCTAAATAACTAAATAATAAATACATAATATTATAGTTATTTAGGTCCGTGGTATGCCTAACAAATTCCTGAAAAGGGAAATCAGTCTGCCACCTGTTCAAGCACCGCTTAGGGTTAATTTATGGACATTTTAATAAACAGAGTTTTTATGGACAGTTCATGACATGAATCGAATAGATTACTGTGGTATACTCTAATAATTACTCAACAAACACTGAAGTTACATCTGTAACCTTTGACACTTGGAATCACCTGACACCGATCGAGCATAAATACCGACAGAAGCTCCCCAGTCAGAAGTAAACAAATCAATGTGCGGCAGGCTGAGGCGCGGATATCTTACAGAAACATATGTACATCTAAAAATATCCCCTTACACTGAATGAAATGCAATAGCTATCACATACATTAAATCACTTTGCTCATAACACACCCACTTACAATCGAAGGGAATCGTGCACCGCCATTTTCACGGTGACGTGGAATGCTCCTCCATCAAGCTGAAGAGTTCAAGCAGGGGAGACAACCGAAAACTGAGACGTAATGAGTTTGAATGTTCTCAGTGTTGGCTTCGATACCGGTTACCTGTAGGCAGAGATCTATTATATGGTCTCTGCAGTAGGTTGCTAAAAAATCCATCTCAATTGCCAGATATTTTTCCAACACAACTTTTTAAAATATTTTTTAAAATATAGATTCAAAGTTATGTTTCATTTGCACAGTCGTTGATAAATCCCATCTAAAGACAATGATGGAGTTCCCGACTGAAACATTATATCCACGGTTTTCGTTCCCACCTTTTCCTGTGTACCCACGACTTTTCCTAAAATACAATGAAGGCATCGTCACACCATTTCTGATAGGTAGGAAGGTTGCACATGTGTGAAAACTGGAGGAAATAAGGGGGAATCAATATTCTTTGAAAATGGTTTGCATTTTTAGTAGCAAAACAAAGAACTTTTAGACACCTGTAAAATGAATTGTTTGATAGGTATTACTTAATAGTTGACGGATGACAAAGTAGACACAATCTATGGATAACAACTTCTTCAATTAGTGTAAAGGCGACGTTTAATATATAAATAGATCCTTATACCATTGCCAAACAAGACCTGTTGTATGCTAGGTGGGCTGCACTGGGCATTAGGGTGGTTGTTTGCACTTTATTTTTAAACTGGGTAAAATATTCCCATGTTCTTTTGCATTATCACATCTATGAAATAATTACAAAGCAAAACACGGTTCTTGAAGTTGGCGACAACAAATCTATGCAAATTTAAAATGTTGCTGAAATGATTCTCTATGAAGCGCAACTCAATGTAACCATGGCGACCAGTGTCTGAGATGTGGGGTAAAATGTCAATGTAACCATGACGACCAGTGTCTGAGATGTGGGGTAAAATGTCAATCACCCAACCCCCAATAATAATAATAAAACAAGTGAACGTATAAATAAAAAATACAATTTCGATGAAAAATGGCAATATTATTACAAACGGCAGTTTGCCCCTAGCATCAGCCGTTGGTAGGGACCTATGTTTTTGCTTGCTGATATTTATTGTTTGTGGTCATTGAAAGAAATGACACTTTTTCTGTTGTTACATAACGAAAATGTTACTCCATTAAATTGACATATATCCCGCATTTCAAATAAAACGATCATTTATT